CGCATGGTGTACGGCGAAGTGGCCAAAGTGGGCGAGAGATGGGATGGGATCAGATGGGTCATCTGGCACTGCACACACTTAGCAGCTTTGAGCAGGTCCCTGCTGATCGAATATAACATTCGATAAATAGAATGGGAAAGCTAGCAGGACAGCCAGAGGCGAAGCGGCCGACAAGTGGAAGCACTTTGCGCAAGAGCAGTCAACCTAAAACATGCCTCAAACCAGAAACCAGCAAGAGCCCCTGTCAGCTTCAGACGCCCGTGCACCAACCAGGCGAGCAGCATGTCCAAAATAGGAACTCTTCAGGGCCGCGTGGTGCTATGGAAGCGCCCTAGAGCCCTACCAGGCCAGCTGTAGGGCACTAAAGTATTCTTAGTCAGGGCAGTCGCTACCCGCCAGCCCAGGAGGAGTAAGGCAAGAGCCCCCACCGCCCCTGACCCTTCTCTCTTGCCTCTCTCGGCCGTCCCAGACATCTGGATCCTGGTTGCAATTCCTCTTCCTCGTCCTCTTCCTCGTCCCTGGTCCGATGGCCTCCGCACAATACTGCACTGGGCCATCACCGGATCAAGATCAGGCAGGTCGACGCTCTTCTCGCGAATCCCCTCACCCCGGCTTTCCGCATTCTGTGCAGCCTCGCCCTGCTCTCTCGGCCCTTCTCCTGTTTCTTAGCCTCCATCTCCACCATGTTTGCCGGATCCTTCCCTTGTCTCTCTACCTGCGCACGGGTTGCCATTGGGCTATCACATGTTGAGGGCCAAGCTCCTCGTCCTAACATTCTGTGTTTCTGCTCGTCTGTTGCATAATAGAACCAACTTACCATATCCTCGCAACCCATGTCATCCGAGTTCCGCCCGTTCTTCCACCCGGCTACCTCTGCCCACCAAAGTTCTCACCCAAAGATCTGAGTTTCCTACTCAGGATTGGATCCACGACCCAGCCGCTTTTCTGACGCTGTCTGCATTGGCAGCCCAGGCACATACCCCTTCCACCTTGCCACATATCATGGGGGAGGGGTCACTTGCTTCAGAATCATGAGATGGACCTAAGCCCAGAGAGACCCCCTTTCGGGCCTCTGCTAAGCTTTCTTGTTCCCATGCCCCTCCCAACATGTCGAATAGGAAGGCGGCTCTGGGATGCACGAAGGGGGTGCCAGGGCTTTGCTCTCACTCCCTGCCCGCGCTCTTGAGATATTCTCCGGCATGTAACATGCGTTTTCCAGGATGATGCTAGCAGTGGGCAGACCTCCAACATGGCAAAGATGGTATAAGTAGTCGTCTGCCATCGGGCATCATACAATGTGCGTTTCGGTATTGGTCCTCAACCCCATCCAGGCCACTCATTCAGAAGCCAGTCCTTCATTTCTAAGTAGGCAATACATTCTTTACTTGTGCCACTTATATACTTTCGCTGGGTTGATTGTTATTTCGTTCTATTACATGATTTGATCATCATGAAGGCATTCACCATTCTCACTGCCCTCCTGGGCACAGCTCTCGCCGCTCCCCGGGGCTACACACCCGTCCAGCCCATTCAGAAGTCGGTCGAGAACAAGTATACCACCGTCAAGGAAAGCTCCAAGGTCGTCGTCGAGGAGAAGAACACACTCAATGGCACCGCTACCAACTCCCGCAACGGAGGCTCCAGGGTCTTCAGCATCAACTCCAACAAAGTCAGCACGCAGGCCGTCCAACAGTCTATCCCCCTGAAGCTCGTCAACAACCTCGATGGCGATGCAGTTAACTGCTACATTTCTGGTCTCGACTCTGACGGAAAGGTCGTCTTCCTTGGCTCCGCCGGCAACCTCATCTACCCCAGCGCCGGAGGCTCTGAAGTCCCTGTTACCATTGCTGAGGACATCGCCATCCCCATGCCAGCCAAGGGCCAGACCTTTGAGATCACTCTCCCCATCGCCATGGCTTCCGGTCGTGTCTACTTCGCCCAGGGTGAGCTCGAATTCTTCATGGTCAAGACTGCCACCGGTGACGGTCTCGTCCAGCCTTCCAACACCAACCTCGAGGATCCCAGCCGCAACATCAACTGGGGCTTCGTCGAACTGACCCTGACCACTGACGGTGTTATCTGGGCCAACATCTCATATGTCGACTTCGTCGGTCTCATCATGTCCATGACCCTGAGGACCAAGGACAACAACACCCAAGAGGTCATCGGTCTTCCTGGCAATGCTGTTACCACTGTTTGCGAGAAGCTCCTTGCCCAGGGCGAGAAAGACGGTCTTCCCTGGGGTGCCATGTGCATTGCCGGCACCGACGGCAAGCCTCTCCGTGTTCTCTCCCCCGAGGACTACGGTGATGTTGCTGGCGAGGGCTGGGAAGACTACTGGACTGAGTACGTTGACAAGGTCTGGGCAAAGTACAGCACCGAGACTCTCAGTATCAAGACCCAGGCGGTCGGCGATGTCGCTTGCAAGGTCGTTGACAACAAGCTTACTTGTGAGGGTGACAACCGCGCTTACCCCAAGCCTGACCACCTCGACATCTGGGGCTGCAACTCTGGTCCCTTTGGTATCCAGGCTGAGGACAACGCCGTCCACGTTGCTGTTGTGCCTCGTCTCTGTGCTGCTTTTGTCCGCAGCACCCTCCTTCTCGATGGTGGCAACATCACCCCTGACCTTCCCGATACCAGCTACTACACTGTGAGCCCAACCAGCCACTACAGCCGCATCATCCACGAGGAGGAAGTTGACGGCAGGGGCTATGCCTTCCCCTACGACGATGTCAACCCCACCGGCTCCGAGGATGCCGCCGGCCTCGTCTCGTCTGGCAACTACGAGTCGCTGACCTTCTACATTGGTGGAAAGCAATAGAGGGTTATCCCTTGAAGGGATTTGAACGCTCTCGTTCTGTATATATAAATTGCTTTGGCATCGTTGGGTACTTCTTGGTTCCCAACCTCATGTATATAAATTTTTGGGGTCATTGATTGATTTCGCTCTCACAGGAATGGGAGGCAAGGTTTGGCTTTTACGGAAAGGAAGGTAACATGTCATGACAGCATGACGGAACAGGGGACATTTCTCTTCCAGGCACATAGGTACTCCTCAAAAGGGGTTTCACACATACCGTACATACAACACAATACACAAGTATATATATACATATCTATATATACATGATCGCATATGATATTCAATAGCCATATTTATGTTGACGTGCTTTGATTATAGACAACCGGTTTCAAGACCGCGTATCCATCGCGTATCCATCGCGAGGATCTTACTTGTCTTACTACCCGCTTGATGGAGGTTGCCAAGTCGACGAACCCACGATGAGCAGCACTAACATGACCCGTTTCCGAAACCAAACTAACCTACTCCACCAGCCTCCAAACAACCATGATTTCATACACTCTCGTTAGGCCTCTGCCCGCGCCAATGGCCAGGACGATCTTGAGTGCAAATATGCGCATACAAAGTTGCATCAGATTTGGTAGAACAGCGCTGGTCAATAAGTGAGCTGTCTCCCATCAGCCAGCCCACTCTCACAGTCCGGATCAAGCTCACTAACATGATTGATACAGACGGCTAGATCGTGCCAGGATAGCACTATTCTCCAATACCGCCCGACCTGAGACCACCTCTCCGCTCAAGGGGAGACCCCAGGCCAGACTCGTCTCAGCAAGACTCCCGCTCCTGAGCCACCTCCCAGTGATCCAGAGCCGCCGGCATTCAAGTGCTCCTCCCGCCGCCATGGCCTCAGTCAAGGAGGCCGTGACCCCCGCCCTATTGGCCGAGCTCCGAGCGTTCTGGTTCGGGCACTTTGAGAGCCAGGATGCGTACGCTCTACCGGGCCAGAAGGATTTGATGCCCTGGTTCATGGGCGGCAAGGCACTAGATGACATCTGCATGTAAGCCCGTCCACGTTTCAAGACTTATCTCCAGTCTGTCAATCACTAACTGTGGGGGTGGTTTTGAAGAGAACGCTACACCCCGGCTCTAGAGGCCATCCAGGCATCGGGCATCACGTCGGGCAAGGACCTCGTCGAGGCCGTGGCGCCAGCCACCCCCATGGACTGGCTGAGCCTGGTCCTCCTCCTAGACCAGGTGCCGAGGAACTGCTACCGGGGCGCGTCGTCGAGGCTCGTCTACTCGGTCTTCGACCCGATTGCGCTGGGCGTGGCGACGGAGGCGATCGAGCGCGGGGTTGTGGATCAAACGCCGGAGATACGGTGGTTCTGCGCGCGCCGGATGTGGTTCTACCTGCCGCTGATGCACTCGGAGGACATGGCCACGCATGAGAGGGCGATGGCCGCGTACCAGGGCATGGTGGACGATGTGGAGGCTCTGATTGCGGGTGAGGGTGTCGAGGAGGGGGGTTGCGAGCAAAAGGCTCGGGCTGCGAAGGTGCTGCAGAGGGATCCGGAGGGTGCGAGGAGCATGGTGAAGCTGAACTTTGATCTGGAGAAGAAGCACTATGACATTGTGCGGCAGTTTGGACGGTATCCTCACAGGAATGGGCCGCTGGGGAGGGAGATGACGGCTGAGGAGCAGAAGTACCTGGATGATGGCGGTGAGACATTCACGAGCTAATGATAGATATTAGTAGAGGCTTTTGGATAAGGCTGTTTGGACTATCTAGACAATTTGTTGTTGGACAATGAGTTTGAGAGAAATCGTTTGACATATGTACTCGCCACTGTTGAATACGAGCCCAATGGCTCATAAGGCCACGCGCTAATAAGAAAGAATTTTCCTAACCCAAATCTTAATCATGCAATTGCTTCGCCTCAGTAGATTTAGGTTGATGCTCAGGCAAAATAAAGTAAACCTTGGGTAGGTAGTCTGAGCAGGTGATGGCTGGCTCATGCCCTCAAGTATCAATATTTAAACCTGCCTTTCCCCCCTCCATCGCTCAGCTGAATCTCAACTCTTTCATGGACCAGATTGTGACAGCTTACAATTATTGTCTTTTCTGCAATTCGCAATCATCCTTCGTGTACGCGTTCCCAGCTGCCAGACTAGCAGCATCGATCCAGCAGTTATGTCACCCCCGAACAGTCCCGCCACTTTGCAAACCGTCCACGATAATATCGTCCAAATCCGACAAACGATGGATGCGGGATTCAATGATCTCGACTCGCTGTTCGCAAAGCTCTCGAACAGGCTTGACGAGGTCTTGAACAAGGTTGACATAGCCTCGAGCCAGATCAGCGAGAAGCAACGTCAGTTTCGACAGGATCAAACGCAACATCAGATCAACGAGAGGTAACAGACTCTCGACAACAATACAAACACCTTGGCGACCTGCGGGGATATGTTCTCATGGCATTGTTATCAGCTAAACAACATGAAGCAATACTTCGCACTTACATGCCATTGTTGCTGTTCCTTTTCTACATATAACTTGAAGTAGTACCTGAAGTTATTGCTATACTTGGTAAATTTGGTATCAAGCTATAGTTTGAGGATATCTAGGAGCTCTGGTAGTAGCTATGAAGCAATTGCTCGAAAGTCAGTATGGAAAGGGTTGGTGTGGCGAGGAAAGAAAAAAAAAAAACTAAAAAAAAATAGATACGGTAGGTAGGTAGTATAAAAATAAAAATAAAACAACATAATTACTTTTAAAGTATATATTCTTAAGACTTAATAATCTAATTATATTAGTCGTGGACTTGAGCATCTCAACTTCATTGTCACCCGCTTGTAGGGTAGGTAGAAAGCTCACCACATCAAACTCATATTACTTCATCTCTCGATCCAACATATCGGCGAATAGGCCAGTCAGCGGCAACTTCTTCTTTGGTACGAGATCACCAATCACATCGTGTCTCACCGCCCCTCCAGCTCCTTCTAGGCTTCGCTCCATGAGATGAGTCCATCTGAGTTCTCACCCGAGGCCGATTGTCTGTCGGCCGCCTTGGTTCCCGCTTTTATTACGCGTATCCGGATTGCGGGTTTGCTTCTCCTTCACCCCCATCACACGAGCAGCTTCGAGTGCCTGATCGACCTCCCAGCTCGTTTTCGGGTTTGAGCCCCTCCACGTCTGGCCACATACCGTTGCATTCTGATCCCGATATGCCATAATGCCAAACAGCTTCCCCACACTTGCGAACTCGCCTGCCCGTAGCAGCACTCTGCTTGACCTGACCCTGATCCCACATTTGCTACCCCTGCCCATGCAAATTGGATGTGATCTCTCGTTGACCATGTTACGTACCGACGAACAAATGCCGCCCCAGCTTCTGGACCTGCAGCCACCTCGTCCACAATGCCGTGCCAAGGCCCTGCCCACCAACAGTTAATAAAGGCACATTGCCACGTAAAACCGTCCATCTGAGAACCGCTGAGATCCTCCTCCCATCATACATGCCCTCACCATCCCCCCCGGCATATATCTGAACAATCCCACTTCTTCTCAGCTAGCCATGCCCGCTCAAACCAGGTCCAGCCAGGGCAGAGCCTGGAGCCACGCCCCGACGACCCTCACCCTCAGCTGGCTGGCCCTCTCGCTGCCCCTCGTCGTCTGGGACACCGTCTACGTCCTCGGCCGCCCCCACACCATGGAGGGCGGCTGGCTGCACTGGCCCCTCTGGGTCCCCTACAAGCTGTACGGCACCGTCGACCACGTCTACGGTTGGAAGGCCTTCAACGCCAACAACGGCTTCACCTCGGCCCAGGGCTTCCTCAACGCAGTCGAGACGTCCATGTACCTCGTCTACCTCTGGAACGTCCTCGGCCGCGGCGAGGCGGGCACCCGTGCCGTCAGGGGCCGCCGTGGCGCGTTGACTGTCGTCACTGGCTTTAGCGCTGCTGTCATGACGCTTAGCAAGTCGGTTCTTTACTGTAAGGACTACTCTCTCTTTGAATGCTTCGGCGGGCTCTTTCTGGTGATTTTGTGTTTGCTAACGGGGATTGTGGTAGGGGCCAATGAGTACTATAGTGGCTTTGACAACATTGGCCACAACTCGACCAGGGATCTCATTACTCTCTGGGTTATGCCCAAGTAAGCTATAACATATCCTTCTGCGGGAAGTTCAAGCTGGGTGGGGAGTCTTCAAAGAGACTCGCCGATGCTAGCCTGGGTTTCTAAACTGCAAAGATTGTGTTTCTGATTCTAACCTGCTGTATAGTGTTCCCTGGATTATCTTGTCAGCTTACATGACGTACACGATGGGCTCTGATATTGTTGACGGGCTTGCCGGTACCGCTGAGCATGACAAGGATGAGTAATGATACTGAGTACGATTCAGCGCGCAAGGTTAGAGAGTCGCTCTGAGGATATGCGGCATGGCTCTGGTTTCCATGGGAAGAGCTGTGAGTGTGAGAGGAAGAAGACTCGCTCAACCTGTGCTATTTCTGGGTGTTGAGCCTAGTCCGTGGACAGTCAATGTGAACTTTGGGAGGTAGTAGGAAAAATGGTGGGCGGTGGTTAATAAACCGAACTTCATACTAGGTATGAAGGCGCTCTGCGAGAAATTACACAGAGATTGCCTGCAGAATTGTCCAAATATAAAAATAATTACCATTAATTTTTATCTCTGACAAACAAGGTACTCAAAAAGGGGTAGCTGCCTATCCCAAGCCTGGGGATCAAAGAATTACAAGATCAAGATATGGTGCCCAGGAGTAACAGTACTATCAATTTCGAGTTCCACGCGGATACACATGACATTAAACTTTTTGTTTGTTATAGGGAGCGGCTATGGTCTCATGCAGAGGTTTGGTTGGTATTAATATTCAGTTGAAGGGGCGTTATACTTTGAATTTATCATAAAAAGATCGCGGTCGACGCGACAAAGGATCAAGACGTGTGCTGTGTGCTGACTTCGGAAAAACGAGCGCTTTCTTTTCTTCAAAAAGAGCTTCATCAAGTTGCGTGCTTAGAAATCAGGGTATCATATCCAAAACAAAGGAGCGAATGGTTCAAAGGCATGCTGGCGCGCAGCAGAAAATGAATGCTGAATGCCAAAAGGCAAAAACAATGCAAGATGCAGGACATGAAGGAATAGGTTTCGTAGATCTACTTGATCTCGGTAAGACCTCCTAGGTTGGCGTACTGCTCCCAGGCAGGTCGGGCATAGGCACTCGCGGGACGGGGGGAGTCCGAAAGCTCGCCGCCCTCCTCTAGATAGGCCTCCATTGTCTCCCAGTAATCCCGGTCCACAATGCGAGGCTCCTCATCTATATCTGGATGGTCCTTGTGTGCGGGAGTACAATCACCGCCGAAAAAGCTTCGACGCTGTTCTGCGACGAGCTCTTGGTAAGCATCTGAATAGTCCTGGGGCAGGTCATTGCCTCCAAAGAAGCTGCTCATGGGTCTTCTGTCCGACCTGCCGGACTGCCTTGAAGACCGAGCCGACAGTGATCGGTTTGTAAACATGGAAACAACATCACGTCGTCCAACACGAAGTGGCTTGGGGGTGGGCGGGTGCATTTCCGCGAGCGGAATAATCGGACTGGGTGTCTTGATCGAATCATCAAGTGTGTCATCACTATCGGTGGTCTGGGGCGTTGCGAACCCAGATTCAGGCTGCGAGCTTGACTCGTCTGCTCCCCCTTCGCTCGTTGGGGACCACCTTTGTGTGTCATACGTCTGCCTGGTAGATTTGGTATCCACACGGTTCGTTCCATTGCCATATCCTTGAACAACAATTTCATGGAAGCAAGGTCTGGGAGACGAAGCCCCCAAGGGTGGGGTCGGAGGGTTCGAGTTCGCCCTGAACCGCCTCATGGAGCGACGAATGGTCGAGCTTCGACTCAGAGCACGCGAGAGCGAACTTGAGCGCGGCGGCACCATGATAACAGGGCTGTTGGGCGAATAATGGCTACTGAATTCCCCTTGGTGCGAGAGAGCCAGGTAATCAATATCGGGCTTGATCTCTATCCTCACCGAGTCGCGAGACAGACGAGGCTCGAGGCCGGTTGTGGGGCTAAGCAATTGCCCGCCAGACGAATTTTCGAGGACAAATTCGGTCTGTCTGCGTAGAATACGGTCGATAGGTTTCATCTCTTGCCACGGCGGCAAATCTTGGAGGGAAACAAGCATGGGATATGGCGCGTTTGTGGCATCTCGTAGCTCAGGAGGGACGTCTGTCACGCTTCGCAGGACTTGGTAGACGGCATAGACTAGAATCCAGCGAACCTTGCGGGCTTCTACCAGGGTCACCTTCTCTTGCTTGTCGCCCTTCTTCGCCTTCATGACGAGTTGCTCTTCAAATTGGCGGTAGGCCTTGACAATGTCATTATGAAAGATGCTTTCGGTCCAATTCGAAGCCTTGATGAGGGCAGTGTGAGCAAGAAGTCGCTGATTTGGGCGTAGCTTATCGGATCGGGTCAGCCATGAAAAGCGATTTGGCACGTTCTGCTTGAAGTCAGGTAGGAGTGGCAGAGGGTGCTTCAGAGTCTCGAACCCATGCGTATTGTCAAATGACTGCAATAGTTGTAGGGTGCAAATTCCTCCGAGAGCATCAGAGGGTATGACATCCGATTCAGTGTAGGCTTCGTCTGCTAGAAGATTCACCAGGCACTCGAAATCCTTCCGCATAGACTGCAGAAGCTGGGTATCAAAAGCCTTGGGAGGATAATATCCGAGGCGGGTGGCATAAAATGAGAGCAAAAAGCTTCTGAACCGCTCCATGTGTGCTCTTGTGCCAGAAGGCATGCCCATGTGTGCGTCTGATAACTCTTCATCAAGAAGTGTCTGAAGCTGCTCCGTAGCAGTGTAAAGCTTTGAATCCATATCCGCACGCGCTTTCCGGATCAGCTTCTTGGTTTCCATTGTGATCACCTATAATTTTCCTGTCAGTATGAATGGTAAGTTTGCTCGGATATTTTACAACAAAACCATACCTCGTACTCCTCACTTGTGTACAGGCGATCGCTCATGCCAGCGCAATGGGCGAACGCCTTGAGATAGAGGTCAGTGATTTCGAAGGTTTCCGCGAGATGGAGGATTGCCAGCGCGTGGTTTGTCTGATTAGCGAAGCCCAGATAGCCCTCCTCGTCAAGGTAGCTAATCAGTTCATCGACATTAGAGCTTCCCTCTGCTCGAAACTCATGCATACTGTGCAAGAGTCCGACAAGCGCAGTCCCTAAGTGCTCCCCGACCATGGATTTCTGGAACACCCATGCAAAAAAGTTCCGGGTCGCAACATGATACGCGAATGCCTGACTCTTGTCGGCCATTGCGGGGGCTGGGATGTAGAGTTCAATCAATTGGTCTGGGTTGAGCCGGCTCCATCTCTCCAGTTGTCGCAAATTTGTCACATTTACTCCCGGGGGAGCGAGAAATCGTTCGATAAGTGGGTAGCACTTCTTCATCACAAGATCCTTGAAAGGAATCTTGAATGAAGGGCCTCGCTTCGATTGTCCTTTGCCGTACAGGTGGACGAGACAATTGCCGTTGCGGTACCATAGTTCCGGATCCTAAGAGACGTTAGATACAAGTTGCACGATGTAGAATAGCAAGGCAGATATTCATCGATCGGAGTATTCTTTACACATACCCTTCGTAACTCGTCCCAGCTGCAGCAAGTCCTCGCAGCACCGTCCCATCGCTTGACCGGACCTTTGACCACAGCACCAAGACCCTCCACGAAGGCACCCAGGCCCCTCGTGGTAGGAATGGAGCCAAGGTCCCCCATGGTGAATGTACGGTGTGACTTTCGGTAGTCAAGTGGTCCTGACTTGGCTCTAATAAGGGGGGCCGCAAGACCTTAGAAGAGTCGAGAGAGTCGTGAGACAGTGCAATCTTATGGCGCCGAAACGGGAACAGATTCCCACCCGGATTCCGGTGTGGACGATTACACAAGATCTATATGCGCAAGCCCTTTTGCTTTCGGCGATGAGCGCGAGGCGTGACGCACCAATTCGTATTATATGGTCGAATCGGGTTCTTAAAGGGACGAGCCAGTGGTGTGGCTGCAGGCGGCCTACTGGGGCCAAGACGCGCAGTGCTTCATCGGATTCCAGGTCGTGCACTCCCAAACAGATGCAATTACAAAAGTGCAGAGAAGGAGAACAGGATCCAATTGAATGAAAAGACACTGGACAAAGACCAGCGAGCAAAAATGTCGAGATGCCACAAAGGCGAAGGGTGGTAGTTAAGGAGGTTTGGTGCCCAAGAGCAGAAATGACAAATGGCACGGGCGGGCAAGCTGAGCATCTTGGCGAGACAAGTCTAGAGTAGTCGGGATTTGTCCCATGCAAGTCCTGAGATAGCTTCAAAGAGGTGTCTTAGCGTAGCATTGTGTAGGCGCTTGCGTCACAACCCCTGTCGATTGTCCAGAGAGACCTAGACCTTTGCCAGGGTGTGCTGGCCAGAGGCTGGCTGAGATGCTCCTGGCTTGGGCTGGCTCGGGCAGGATGGAGGCTTGCCTCACCGAGGTGGTGCAGGAAAAAAATCAGCGGAATCCAGAATCTGGAACGCATGAAGCCCCGCGAGTCTGCAACCGACTTGCATTGGGCGATCAGCGCCGTGGTATTCGCCATGAAGTCACGGAACAGGGTCGAGAAATGAGGATCATATCATAGCCCACACCTGGATCGCGGCGGCGGCGGAGATCTCTCTTTCTCTCGCTCCTCTCTCCACGCATGCGATTGCTGGCAATCCCATGAGCATCCTGAATCGCGAACAGGGGCGGCCGCGAAGATCACTGACATTTCCAGCAGCTGGCCATCTGATTGGAGGACCCGCTGGTTTTCGACGGATGCAATTCGCCTATGCCACGCCATTTTATTGGCAATGCCGCAAACATGTCCAGGATGCTGCTGAAAGGTTCTCGTTGCGGCCCAGCAAACAAAGGCCCCTTGTCCCAACCACGGCAATTCCTCAACCCGATCTCTTTCAACGTGGTGAGATATGGATTGGCGGATGGCTTTGGGACTCCGCCAGCCAGCCTGCAAGCGGACAAGAACCAGCTTGGCAATTTTACACCATTGCCAGTCTCCGCTTTGTGAGCGCCGCCCCGTTCGTGCTACGTTCCGGCAGCTGTGTTTCGTCCGAATGAACGCCCATTCCGGTGATGATGCAATCCTTTGTTTATTTCCCTGGAAAAGGAAACTGAGAGGCATTGTCTTTGGTCCGTATAACCTCAAGGGCGATCTATCGAAAGATCTCCCTGTTGGAACTTGTTCCTTCTCAAGCGTCCATGGCCGCACTCGTTGCTGTTGGCCTGCCTCTCGGAATGAAACGAGAAATCCTTTCATTAGATCAGGGAATTGGTGCGAGTGGACTGAAGGATGTGAGACTCTCCATTCTGTGGCACGAACCACTCGTCTTGATGACGCAAATTGCTCCTTCACCGACTCGGTGCGCAAATATATGTTGCATCATGGAAAGATGACTCTCGTAGTGTAATCACGAAGTGGAAAAGAGGCTATCACCGCATCGATGAGACTTGCATATACGTACGTCGTCGGCGTGCAGCGCTGGATCATGGCTTAAATGTCAACACCGCTCTCTGACGTGTCACGGCATTGGATGCAGCTAAGGGCCTTGCCGGCCGCGAGGTTGATCTGACCGCCGAACTACACGGCTCTTCTTTCGTTCTTCCCCTCCCTTCTGCGTGCCACGGAGCCTTAAGCGTGGGCTTTGGTGAGGTCAGTGCGGAACTGCTTTCCACCGAACCGACCTAGTTCTGAGACTGGCTCGGGAATAGTGCTCAGAACAACGTTGTCACTAATCCAAGAGAAAGCTTGACGTGCGAAACATTGTTTCACCAGCTACCAATGCACGACGCCATTTTTAACGGCGCCATGGTATCGGTGAGAGAATGAAGGCCCCAGTCCACAATGCCGGTACTGGGAAGCAAGCTTTTCAGCTGGTTCCATCTGCCCTAGACAACAATGGTGGGTTCGTTGTTTCAGTCCAGAATCACGTTTTGCTGCTTGAAGCAGTCGAGACTTGCAAGCATGGCAAACTCATGGATCAGCCCAGCTGTCAGCAAAATCCAGAATCTCGATGGGAAATGAAGTCGAGCCACAATTGGAAGCGCTATAGATCATAGCTAGACCAAGAATAGTTGGCTCCCGACCATCGAATTGCCTAGTAGAGTATTGTGGCAACCTCAGTCAGGAACAATGTCCAGGGCCAAAAATTAAGGTGTGCCTTTTGCTGAGTCATTCGGTGAGCTCACCTTTGTTTTCGGTGAAGGCCCGGCCCAATGCTAGGAAGTTTTGGGATAGCTACAGAGCATTTTCCCCAGATGCGACAGCATGGCAAGGACACCAAATCATGGCTTTCACAGCGCCCTACACCTACATCCAATGCCCTTGCTCCTCAAACCATACGGATCTAGATCATGGTGACCAGATAGCTCAAGACGCGATCGAAAACGACGACGAACACACCTTCGACCCCCGCGCCCCGCGTTCAAACTACTCCCTATATCCTCTAGAATACCTCCTCTACTGCGAGGAGTGCCAACAGATTCGGTGTCCCAAATGCGTCAACGAAGAAATTGTCACATATTTCTGCCCAAATTGCCTTTTTGAAGTCCCGAGCAGTAATCTACGAAGCGAGGGCAACAGGTAAGCTTGAGGAGCTACCCAAAGCCAAGCCATGCTAATGCTCCATTGCTAGATGCACGCGAAGCTGTTTCCAATGCCCTGTCTGCACCAGCCCGGTCCAAGCTGGTGAAATACCGAACGAACCCGACCCTACTCTACTCGGCGCGGATAACAATCCTGCGGCTCATGTGAGCTACGCCCTGTTCTGCCAGTACTGCAATTGGTCCTCGAGCGAGATCGGTATCGAGTTTGATCGTCCCAGCGGCATTCCTGCTCAATTGGCCAAAGTGAAGAATGGCGGAGGGCCAAAACTCACCGTCAAAGACCTCAAAGAGAGGCGGAAAGAGAACCCCGACGAGGGTCCAGTTGCCGATGAGCTGGTCGACACCGAACTCCAGTTTGCGAACCTCAAATCCTTCTTTCAGCATCAACTATCCGATAGCACCAGTGTTCTTAGCAACCTTTCTTTTGCGGATGGTGCCGGATTCTCATCACCAGCGGCACTGTCTCGCATCATGACCCTCTACACAGCCGGTCGTGGCCAGCCGGGCCGGCAACGCGGACCCCCAGACACAATGCGGGAGGCACTTAACACCGATGACGGTCTCAGGATTGCAAAGCTTGATGAGTCCGCGGAAGTGAAAAAGCTGTTCCGCGGGGGGTGGGATGAGACGGTGTCCAGGGAACAGGCGCTGGCGCAGCTGGAGCCCGCGAGGTTTCAAGATGAGCTCCGGCCCACGCAGTGCACGCTCCGGACGAAACGATCCAAGCGATGCGCGGTCTGCCGGCACATCATATCCAAGCCCGAGAACAAGGTGGCTTCCACCCGGTTCAAGATCCGCCTGGTTGCCAAGAACTACATCCCCTCGATTTCCATCAGGCCCTTGAAACCGACGGCGAGCGGGATTCCCGTGGGCCTGCGCCCAAGCGTTCAAATAGAGAAACCTCTCAAGCCACTCCAGCCCTGCCAGTACATCGTGACTTTTACGAATCCTCTCTTTGAGAGTATCAAGGTCACCCTTGCAACGCCCAATAGCACACCGGGGCGGTTCTCAAGCAGGGTTACGCTGCTCTGTCCCGAGTTCGAGGTAGATGCAAACACGGACATGTGGGACGATGCGCTTCGAGACGACGGCGACTTGAAGAAGCGAGACGACAGCAATGGGCAGGCCGAGGCCGGTAAGATCTACGAGAGAGGCCGGAACTGGGTCAGTGTTGTACTCGAGGTCATCCCACCGTCCCTGCGTGTGGAGAATCTCGATCTCACTGCCAAGCCTGGGGAAGTGGTGGACAAAAGTCCGCTCAAGGAGGACGAGGATATTCTGGAGATACCCATGTTTATTCGTATCGAGTGGGAGGCGGAGGCACAGCACGATATCACGGGGACAGCAGGCAGGGACAAGGACGCACGGGAAAAGAGGGAGCTGGCATACTGGTGTGTCCTCGGGGTGGGACAGATTAGTCACGACTAACGAAGACATTATCACGAATTTAGACATATACACCATTCGTAGTTTGTTTGAGAACGCATAGGGTGATTTATGCCATGCCATGCGGCAGCCTGTACTATTATCAAGCTACCTTCTCACAAGAGACGCCAAGCCCGTTTTTTAGAACACCTTTTATGCTAAATCACCCTAAAATGGAACCCTCCGTAAAAAAAGACGACATGCTTAGAAGTCGGCAGCCTGGCTCTGGGGGAACTCGAAGTTGACGTTGCGGCCGGTCAGGCGGCGGTAGACCTCGGCGTAGGTGTCCAGGCGGTAGTCAACGCCACCACGCTCCTTCTCGTCGAGGATGACCTTGAGGAGCTTGCTGCCGTCCTCCTTGGTGCGGACGCGCTTGCCAACGATCTCGACGGGGTAGGTGAGATCGCTGAGGATGGCGTCGTGGACGGCGGTGAGAGTGCGGGAGCGGGGGCGCTTCTGCTTCTGGGTGTTGCGGCTGCGGGCAGAGCGTCTGGGGCGGGGCAGGATGCGGCGCGAGGCGAGGATGAGGACGTGGCGGTCGGAGAACTTCTTCTCGAGCTCACGGGTGAGGCTAAGACATTGATGTTAGGTGAGGCTGGATCCTGGCGGCGGCGCCACTGGAGTTGAAACATTTTCTTACCGCTGCTGGACACGGTGGAAACCGGTCAGGGAAGGGACGGGGACAAAGATGACAATAGCCTTCTTGCCGTGGCCAACTTCGATCTAATGAGACCCAAAGTCAGCATGCGAGCTCCAGGACATAGCCTTGGACCGCTTCCCGTCCTGCTCCACATAAGTCAATTGTACTCCGGCAAGGGAAGTCCGTTCCTCAGTTCGCGACGAGTATAGTACCCATTTCAATTCACATTGAATCAATTGGAGTATCTGCGTGTTGAAGGCGGAAACGTCTCCTCGCGTGCCATTGTATGGTATAGCTTTGTGTAGGAACAGGATCTCGAAAGGACTGTCGGCTAGATTTTTTCATGGTGCGGTTCTCACCTCGCGAGCAGAAACGAACTGCAGAGGTCGGAGGGCGACCTTGAGATCGGCGGTGTTGGTCTCGAGGTCGTAGAGAGCCTGAGCAATGTTCTGCTCAAGCTCGGAAGGGTTCTGCCGCGAAGGGCTGTTGGGGGCGATCTTGTTGAGGGCGCTCATCTTGACTGCTGATGCACAACTTGGTGGTTGGATGATGTTCACTGCGATGCGCACACAATAAGTTTCGGCCAGTTGAAAGGGTGGTCGTTAGATTGGGGTTTTCGTGCCCTGATTAAAGTGGGGTCACCAATTCTCAAAATTCCTCTCTCACAACCAAAGAATGCAGCCTTAGGCAAACAGTCTCATTCGACTAGTCCATATTCGGAACTCGCATCTTCTGGAGGTACGTACCCCGTAGACCCACACCTCGGTGCTACCAGCCGTTGATGCTCAGAGCGCAAGACTCCAAAGAACTTACTTATTCGAGAAATATTGAGTATTCTGTTCTTCTTCACTTTGATAAGCTCCTCGATGCAAAATTTTCAGACTTTAGAGTTAGCGCCTTTCTTTTCTCCTGACAAACATTTCAAGCTTCCCAAATAAGAGCTATATGAACACCGATACCTATGCTCGGTTGTTGAAGCTGTTGGTCGTTCCTCTGGGAAGGAACACCTCTAGAATATTAGATCATACCGGTAACACCATATCAATTTATTTTCAAGAAGGAGCACCTCAATTTCTGAATTTCTTTCAAAATGTGCCCTTATCTAGACTTTACTCTTTACCCTTCTCCTATTCATACCTTGCCCCATGTCTAAACCCCCATTAAGCTGGTTCAGATAGTCGGCCTTCGAGACTTGCTTCACACCTGTTGCTGAACCATTGACGACACTCGGGATTTTGTCTTCAACTCTGGCTGCACTTCAACATGTGGTGCTACTTTTTCCTGGTCCTTCTCCAGGCGACAATTGCGCTCGCCCAACAATCATATGGCACTCTGCCCGATACACCTCCCGCACACGCTTTCGAATTTCACGGATGCGCTTCTGTCAACCTAAACAGCTTCAGTGATCCAATCGTGTTCCTGGATGGTGTGCTAACCCCAGAAAGATGCCAAAAAGCATGCCATGATCAACATATCGCTGCCCTTTTTGCCCAGTACGTTGCTTCCTCTAAGCAATTCAATAGATTTGAAGTCTAATAAACATCTAGTTCTTGTCGTTGCGGGAATGATGAAGGGTCTTTTACTCCGCTTCCTTCCGACGCATGTGACCATCCATGTATGGGAGATCCGGAGCTCGGGATATGTGGTAGTGTCTGCCCAGAGAAAGGTCAAGAAATATCTACCATTTACATGGCCAAAGACGCTTTAGCCTTCGATCCGGAATTGGGCGAGTCTTTTTCTTCGCCGATCAGTGCTTCCCACACTGCCTCAACACCTAGCTCTACCGAAAGCTCTACCGAAAGCTCTACCGGTATTTCTGATCGTGATAAATCACTCTATACATCTCCGATTACTAACTTTCTTTGTTCAGTTATCCCTACAATTTTCTCCATATATTCGCACAACGATCCTACTTCCTCGGCCAAGTCCAATCTCATAAGCTCAACTCCCAGCCCTGTTGCTATTCCATGGCCTTCAGCGATCTTAATTGGAGATCCACCGAGCAGCACGGCAGAGGGCAACTTAGACAAACTTGCTCCGGACACTCTCTCTGAGATACCGGGACGATCATTCCGACCTGTTGGATCCAATACTACGGTATTGAAGGGCGACGAGGGCAACGGCGACCCTCCTATACCTGTTATTATCCCAAAATCACAGGCTCATACACTCCAGCAACATTTGCTTTCGGTTCTGAGTGGACTGGCCCTTCTGTTTGCTACTGTTGCTTGAATCTAGCCAACAGCTACACTGGATTATCGTGTTGCTCTATTGGCTCCAAGAAGGACATGAATTTTTGTGTTCAAACACATTCCCTGTCATGTCGGTGCCGTGTTCAAAGTTCAATATTATACATATGATTTTAGAGCGGTGTGAAAGGAAACATGCAGTGGATCTTGAGTGTATTTCGAGGCAAGCTCCTGTTTCAATGGTTTCATATTACAACCAGCCTGCCCAATGCTCTACATTTAGAGGCAAGAGTCATTCGGACTAAGAAAGTAGAAAGTGAGAAGAAGTAGATTTAATAATTACCCGATTGAAATTAACGAACTGGTAAATTGTGTTTCGTTCCATGGCATATTCACATGGCCAGCGGCATTCTTGCCCCTAGGGTAAGCAAATGGGGAAGGCGGATCTCCGCCAGAAGCCATGACGCGGGGCTTTGGCGGGGGTCCGCATCAGCTGTCGGTCGATGCCGCGAACCATCATCTCCTTAGCAACAGGCTGGTATTTCAACAGCTGATGCCCCTCCGCCATCTTACGCCTTCCTACTTCGTACATACATCGGAATTCGAGTAGCTTTGCAGAGCTACAGAATCTCCCACCATGCAGTCCGGAATTTTGGGTATGTCTTATGAATCGAAACACACCTCGATTGTCCCTCCCCCTCAGCTAACTAGTCCCAAGCTTCCAAGGAGCTCCAGGCCCAGTTCAGCTCCTTGCTTTCCGATTCCTCGACCTTTGGGCTGTTATCGACCATCGAAAAGGAGGCACTTGTGCCTGTGACGACCATCCCACAGAAGGGTCATACTTTCGAAGAGAATCTTACCGCCCTAGAGCCTCACTTGAAGCCCAACGTTGCGCTCTACATCATTCTTCGTCGATATGACACCGCCCCCTACTTCGTTGCTGCCACCTACATCCCCGACTCTGCCCCTGTGCGGCAGAAGATGCTGTTTGCGTCGACACGGTTGACGTTTGTGCGTGAACTGGGAACTGAGCACTTCCGCGATACCATCTTCACCACGAACCCAGAGGAGCTTTCGGCGAGCGGTTTCAAGAAGCTGGAGGCGCACGCAAAGCTAGAAGCACCCCTCACGGAAGAGGAACGAACCCTTGGCGAGGTCAAGCGAGCGGAGCAAGCTGCAGGTGCTGGCACTGGTACAAGGGAGATCCACCTTAGCAAGAACCTGAATATGCCCGTGGCAGAGGATGCCATTGCCGCTATGAAGGAAGTCGGTACGGAAGGGGGTCGTGTGGTGACTATGCTGGTACGTTTGCTTTTGACTTCTCCTTGCGTGGAATGAGGGCAGGACTAATCGGGCCACAATATTAAGAAAATCAACCCCGAAACAGAAGTTGTGGAACTTGTCCCCGAGTCTCCAACACCCAGCACCATCACCGAGCTGACCCAGGCTATTTCTGCCACGGAGCCAAGATTTACCTTTTTCCGGTTCAAGCACACCCACAATGGTGCTGAGCAGACGTCTATGTTGTTCTTCTACACCTGCCCTGCTACAGCTGGCAATAAGTCGATCAAGTTCCGAATGCTCTACCCGCTAATGAAGCGAGCTGTCTTGGAGGTTGCTAGCAAGGAGGCGGGATTGACCCTGGATAAAAGGTTTGAGGTTGAGGAACCAAGTGAGATCACAGAGGAGAGCGTCTTGGAGGACTTACACCCCAAGGTGGCAACTAGACAGGCGTTTAGCCGCCCCAAGCGACCTGGACGGTAGATTTGAAGCCCAAAGCAGTCATTCAACTGTTTAGGATGAGGCACGAGATATGAGTCAAGCGGGATGAGATGAGCGCATATGTCCAATTGCTAGAAACCTATATTCTGTATCCCCAAGATGCATGCATAGAAATGTTGACCCTGCTTCCCTCGGTTGGCCTCCTCTTGATGATGGCCATGGTGCTGAAACTCTTCATCTGACCGAACTAGAAAATCATTTGTCTAACCCAAGTTTCCCCTTATATCCTGACTCTTCTTTTCTTCGTCTGCTAGAAAAATAGATGCAGATGACAGGAAAGAAGAAAGTCGGGATGTAGATGTGTAAGTGGAGCCCGTCCGTCCCTTAACTCAGAGTGCCGCCTCCGCCTCTAACTTCTGCTTTTCAAATGCGGCTACAGAAACAAAGTATTAGAAACACCAACCAAACATGCCATTTTTGTCAACAACAAACAACGTGAACATGATTAGACCCTGTCGCCTTCTCGTACCCGATTCCTCATAAACGCCTCCCCTCCCTGCCTCCCACTCTCGGGCCAAGAGTGGAGGGAGGGAAGCAAGGATGAACAAAAGGAAGACACACAAAGGAAATTGGAGGTTCGTTCGTTGACTCGATTTTACTCCTCGTACTTGCCTCCGTTAAATGATGAGAAACTGCTCTTTTCTAACTTGGATCTCAGGTACTCGTAAACAGTGAATGTGACGGCCTGGCCGGGGGCCACACGCATGATACGTGGGGTGATGCCCTTGTAGAAAGCGTGGAATCCTTCTTGTCTGGAACGAGGATGTTAGTGTCTTTTTCGAATTTCGGCGCGTGAGGATAAAACCGAGGCCGGAAACTTACTTGAACATCTCGGCAGAGATTCTGGATATTCTGGACCATGCGCTGGAGCCGGGCTCGGCGGGCGTCTTTTGCAGTCTCGTCTTGATGGTGTCGATGGGCGCATTGCTCAGGGGACCCATGGCACCACTCACCAGTCCAATCAGGGTGGTCTGGTAGCTGGGGAGGTTGCCGCCCTCGTACTGAGGCTGAAACTTGTACAACCACTCCTTGAAGTAAGTGTACGCTGTGAAGTTGACGGCCTGGTTGGAGCCCTGGCGCAGGGCGGTCAAGCTGACGCCGCGGTACAGGGCACCGAAGCCCTCCTCCTTGACGACGGTGTAGAGGGCGTGGGCGGCGTTGCGGTACTTGGGGACGTCCAGGGGGTCGGCCATGGAGTGGTGCTGGGCCTGCAGGCGGATCTTGATGACCTCCATGGGGGTGACGACGGCGACGGCCTCGGTCACACCGGCGGCGAGGCCGGCGAGGAAGATGTTGGACCCGGAGACGACGCCGGTCTCCTTGTCGGCCAGCCACTGCTTGTAGGTCTCGAACGAGGTGAAGCGGATGGCCATTTTGGGGACGATGCCCGTCAGGACTGCGCCCAGACCCTTGTACAGACCGAGGGGGGTCTCCTTCTTGACGATCTCGGCGCCGGTGCGAATGAAGCCTCGGCTCGGGGCTCCAGGGGCACGCGCGCGCCGCGACAGCTGCATGCGGACCTTGATTGTGTCGAGAGGGTGGCACACGAGTGCTTCCATCATACCAGCACCTCCTCCAGCTATTATGATCCTTTGTTAGTCTCAATTGATTCTTCACTTATACTGATTGGTGAGCTTACCAACGAGGTTGGTCGCCGCAGTGGCCGGTTGCTTCTTGCCGTTTTTCGACATTTTGTTTTCTCTAATGTGTTTATTCTTCCAGGGGTGTTTGAGGAGGCCTTGAGAACAAGACGGGCTGACTTATTGAATGCGCTCTCTATCCCGCTTGAGTTTTACCCAAAGTAGATGTGCAATTGACTTGTATAGAGCCGAGGCAAGAAGAGAAGAAGATCACCGGGAAGTATAAAGAGGGTGAGAAAGGGGATAGTCTTTGGAGGCGGAAGCCATAGATATACAGATTAGCTTCGAATTACTCACACATGTTCGGAGGTGGAAGCTAGAGGGAAAAATGGGGAATGTCACAGGTATAGAACGGATGAGCGTTGAGGATCTGGGGGTGGGAAAGAGTCACACACGACCACGGGCTGGAGAGCGTTCGGTTTTTGGCATATGATTCTGACTCCCTTCTCTCAGCTTGTGCCCACACCTCGACCGATCGACCGACCTACCGGCAGTACAGTTTACTTACACACACACCAAGGAACGCCACCAAATCGGGGTAAGGAGGGGGGTAGTCCAAGCTTCGGGGAGGGTGTATGTAGAATCAGGGCGCGAGATGGCAGATGCAAGATGATCTACCCGTCGTACTACGCAGGCGTGAGGGTCGTCAGCAGGGCGTTCGGCTGGTGTTCTTTCGGCGAGGACGGCGAGGGCGGCGAGGATCGGTTACGTGAGGCGCGATGAGGTCGAGTGAGGATGGCCAAGGGCAGGCAAGCAAGCAGCAAAGCAGATTTCCTGTCGTCCCTCTCTGGCTCCCCGTAACCGGACCACGACGCCCTTTTCTTTCCTGTCCCCCGCGGTCCACGACCCATGGCTAGCTCTTGGGGAGGTTGTCCCGCGGCTCAATTGTTTCTACGTGCAGGCAGGAATTGCTCCCCACTCTGCTGAAGGTTGGGGGTCTCCGGGCAAGCGGAGGGTTGGAGACGGGGCCCTTTGAGGCTGCGGGTCCGGGCAGAGCTCCCCCTTTTGTCCCGAACTGGCCCGGGGCCTTAGGTGCAGCCTTCTCGATGTCTGGCAGGCCTAGATCCGTCCTACAAGCGCCGCAGTAAACGGTCATA